GTTGTAAAATTCTTCAATACGATTGGTTCTTGCTTTTGGTTCCTGACAGATCTAAATGTATAAACCAATCATATTGAAGAATTTTACAACAGTTGCAAAGCTGCTTTCTCTGTTGAACGCAGCCATTTTATCCTTGTGTTCACTGAATGTTGGACAAGGATAAAAGATACTCGGAGTTGATATTGTTCAGTTTTGGAACGCACCCCTGATGGTGTTATTACCGCCGCGTGTTCCGGCACTTGTATTTACATATTTTAGCGCCACAAATACAAATGTAAAAAATAATTTCAAAAAATAATTTCTATAATAATAAACTATTACTATAGAAAAGATAACCAAGAAAAAATGGAAGATATTTTCTGGGTTATAAGTGCAATATATGCTACAGAATAATATATATTGCAATATAGTGCAATATATATTATAGAAATTAAATGCAGCAGGCAGCGTTGGTTCTGCATTTTATGTTGTGAGTTTGTTCTGAAAATATATGACAGATGTACACGAGATATACCGCAAGAATAATTTAGAGACGTCTTGGGTATAATCAATATGATAGCAGTATATTCAGCATCAGAATCAAAGTTTAGTTATTATATTTGATATATCTTGACAATATACAAGAAATAATATTTTTCTGAGACGTCACATTAACGTTTCTGGTTTATTCGGTATAATCACAGTACATTTAGTATGAATATTGAATGTTAGCATGATATCATGTGCTGATTTGAATTCCGCGTTAATTTTAAGGCAAAATTCTTATTGGCTCTTTCTATATTCAGTCGCCATTATGCGCAATGGAACACCTGGGCTGCGTTCCATGCTCGCGAGCATCGTTTATCCTTTAACATTTGATAAACGACAAGGATGAAATAATTCCACGAGCGTTGCGAGCGTTAAGTGGAACGCAGCCCTGGTATCCTTACATCATGGAAATATTGATACAATTTATGGAAGCACCCTGACTTTGGTCGTGGTCGTTTTTTCTCGTAGTACATAGTGGCCGGAAACTTTTGCACATGTAAACATGACAATTATAATAATAAAAATGTTCATAAACATAAACAATATTCTTTCTTTACATTATTTCGTTATCAACATCTTGTACCAAAACCTAATAATGATTAAAATTTTATCAGGCTTTTTTCCTATAAATTAGAGTATAAAATGTCACTGGCTGGAAACTTTTGCACACCACTATATATATACAATATACTAGGAATGGGCTAAGGTAATTTTATTTTGTTATATATATATGTTTTATCAGTGTATCATCATGTAAATTTTTTAGTGGAACTTTTGAGTAGAGATGTGCGAACTACTCAAATACGAATAATTCAATTCATATTAGAATAGTTCGCATATCTCTAATGCCAACTTTGACTTAAATAAAGAGTTGTAAATAAAATATAGAATATGCGATAGAATGCAAAAAGTTCGAAAAATTAAAAAATTTCGTAATTTAGATTTTATAAAATGATGTGTAAATCTGCAAAAATAAAGATGTGCAAATTATTCGAATACAAATTCGAACAGTTTGTACATCTCTACTTTTGAGTTGACCTTTAAACTGTGTAATTGTATGAAATTATTATTTATTGCTTATCATATTTTTTGCAGACATGGAAAGACTAGAAGGCTAATATCTTAAAAAAAGCTGTAAAGCACAAGATTTACATGATGGGAATAAATGGCGGATCACCAAAAGATTTGCAGTTATCTGGAACAAAGAATGCCTTGAATTTTTTAACTCCAGATGCTAGTGGTTTAAGAGATATTCTGGAAGCTGGATTTACAGATGACTCCAAGTTATGATAAAACTTCGAATTCATTTGCTTTATGTAATATTGAAGAAAAAGAAGATGAAGTATTTTCACTTGATGTTTGGAACGATACAATGATGGCATCACATGAAATGCATTCTCCTGTTCAACAAAATAGCAGACTATGCAATTATGTATATGCCATTAAATAGTAACATACATCCAATTGAACATAATAAAAATGATGTATGTCTTATAAATTTTATTTAATTATCATCATTTTGTTAATTAGTTTAAAAATATGAATTAATAAATTTATTATTTCTTTTTAATTAATAAGTTTCAATAAATAAAATACATTCATAACAAGATAATAAAATAAATAATTCTTTAAAACAGAAAAAGCGCTCTATTCAACAAAATACTAAAGGAAATAAATGTGAAACAATTGTTTCATCACACAATATGAGTGTATATTAAATTAAGAATAAAGAAAATTGGGTATGCATATAAGATTTATTTAGGCATGCATTATAATGTATTACTTTTTATAAATATAGATTAATATAGATTTAACTTTATTGTATTTTACTTTACTATTTACAGGAAGACCAAGAATTTACAGGAAGAACAAAATAAAACAATATGTGCATTATCTTTAGATGATATAGAGGATTATATAGCAAATTATTCAAAAGGTATACAAAGCTTTTTTAATAAAATGTATTAACGTATAATAAATCAACTTAACTAAGACTCCTTATAAATAAAAAAACAATGAAAGAACAAGGGCAGTAGGAGTCAAGCGCGGGAGATGTTGCGCAAATAACACGGCTATCGTAGCGTGAAACTTCTTTCTTTTA